GCTGCTGTCTGGCCTTTCAGAGCCACAGCAGTGGGATTCAGTTGCATCTTGTAGTCGAGCAGATTTGGCAGAGTGATGCGTGTATGATGCTGTCAATGAAGCAACACTGGAAAAAAGACAAAACAGCCTGACCAACGCTGAATTTGGCTGGGTTCAAGCAAACTCGCTGGTTCGCAGCCTAGTGTGCACTTGGATGCGAGAGGCGATGGCAGAGGAGTTGCTAGGGGAGCAGCGAGTGCTGTTTTAAGAACCAAATTCTTGACACAGCTGTCAAGGAGGGTTTGCTGTTTGGCATTCTTCTGAGGGATTAGGGGGGAAGGAACAGCCCAGACAAGCGCACAGTCTCATTTGCAGAGCAGCAGGATCACGTGCGTAGGCTCTGACGTCTCTAGTTGCTGTGGGAATGTTTGACTGTCACAAACCTGCTGGTGTGGCTGCATTGAATAGGCTGCTGAGGAGCTTGAGGAGGGGTGTGGTGGGGACGGGGTGGGATGTTGTGCTCCGGAGAGAGATTCCCTGAAGGGGATTACTGCAAAAGTCTAAACCAAGTGGTTTATTTTTGGAGGTGTCTTCTTCCCCTCCCCTTTTTTTTACCCAGTCCTAAAGTACATGTATCCATAAAAGAAAGTACCTATCTACCTCTGCAGTAAATGCCACAGGGAACTGGGAGGGAAGCAGACCACTCTTTTTCTGTGGCAATCTGTGCTGTTGTTGAGTGAAAATCTTGGTTCAGGCTAAACCAAAGAAGCGCGAGTGTTGCATCACTTGCAGCTTGCTGTTGACAGATCAGCCAGCTGTTGGAGCCTAATGGTCCCTGTGGACCAGGCAGGCTTTGTCTGCTGCTTCCATTAACCAGCTAACTTCCAGAGGTGCCCTAATCTAACAGCTTTTGGCAGCTTATTGTCAGTCACTAGCAGCAGGAGTCTTTTTGGAATATCTTTTTATGAAATGCTAGAAATGGCACATCCCTGTCATTGGTTTCTTGTGGTAATGCCCCTGTCCAGGGTGGAAGGAGGTGGAAGACTGGTGATGAGGAGGCAGGCTGTATGAAGAAGGCCTGGCAGGGGAATAAGAGGGGCTTGAGGAAAGTGAGGGGAATTGGGATATTCTTGCTCCAGCCACAGATCCCATTTAAGAGCTTTTTGCCCCACTTTTGTATCACTTACTTGCCCCTGTCCTTGTCCCCTTCTGTTTTCTGGCCCATGCAGGTGGCTTGTGGTTGGGGTGCTGTCAAGAAAAAAATGTTTCTTTTTAGAAGACATTGTGGTGAGCAGCTGGCTGGCTCCCATGGGTCCCATCTTCGCCGTGCCATTGAATTGTCCCATTATGGCCCTGTCTTCCTTCCCTTTTTCTGCTAGCCAAGTGCGACCTTGCCTTCAGCAGCCAGAGTCCTAAGTCCACCCTCCTCCAGTGCATAATGTTGGTGATGGTTAAGATCTCCAATTAAAGTTTCCCTTGCTGTAAGGTTTTAAATGTTATGGAGAAGGCAATACTGCCTAGTTAATTTAAGTAGGACTCAAGATGCAGGTTATTTCTATTTCGGGGTCTGCCACTGGTTCTTCCTCGGTGGCATTAGACAGGACTCCTTCTTTTCTGTGCCTTTGTTTCTCCTTATGCAGAATTGGTGTGTGTGTGTGTGTGTGTGTGTGTGTGTGTGT